ACGGGTTGGATGTCAACAGAGAAGTCGGAACAGTACACTACGCAAGTTAACCGAACTGCTTGTGACGTGAGACATGACGATAACAAGGATGGACGCCGCCACAACTGCACAGTTTGTGCGCTACATTTGACTGACTGTCTAGCTGCTGTCATCGAGAACGAGGAAGAAGAAGAAACTTTAACAATTTTTAAAATAATTTGCCCTGGCATTATATAAATATTGTTATAGTGATTGGTTGATTGATTGATTGATTGATTGGTTAATTGATTGATTGATTGATTGATTGATTGATTGGTTAATTGATTGATTGATTGATAGGTTGATTTATTTATTTATCTATCTATTTATTTATTTATTTATTTATTTATTTATTTATTTGTATATTCTTTTTAAAACTTTTTTTTAACCAGTTACATGAACAGTTAAGATTATGATGTACAATTATTGCAACTACATGTTATTATCAATTTACAATTGATTGCAGCTACAGGTAATTATTAATTTACATTTTTCGATGACTCAGGTACAGGCTGTGTTATTGTTATGACTAAGAGTGAAAATGTTCAAACTTTGGTGCAAATTTCATGGAAAAAGCTCTTTAAACTTAAACAACAGTGTGTGTTTCTAGTCCAGCGTAGGATGAACGACAGAAAGAAAGAAAGACAGAAAGAAAGAAAGAAAGAAGGAAAGAAAGACAGAAAGAAAGAAAGAAAGAAAGAAAGAAAGAAAAAAAGAAAAAAAGAAAAAAAAAGAAGGAAGGAAAGAAAGAAAGAAAGAAAGAAAGAAAGAAAGAAAGAAAGGAAGAAAGAAAGACAGAAAGAAAGACAGACAGACAGACAGACAGACAGACAGAAAGACAGAAAGAAAGTGAGAAAGAAAGACAGACAGACAGAAAGACAGAAAGAAAGAAAGAAAGAAAGACAGAAAGACAGAAAGACAGACTGACAGAAAGACAGAAAGTAAGAAATCCTTTTTCTCCCGTGAGGAAACGTTTGACATACAGCCTATACATTCTTTTGGTAAACGTGTTTGGCAAGACCATGTGCCTGTCTTTTTGTCAATGTCTGGTTTTGTTCATCACTAATGATTTTCATATTAAACATTGTAAATAAATTACACAATATGACGTTAATTACGTAAAAAAATATTGCTTTGTGAGAAAATAAATCTACATGAACCAGCACATTTGCTTCAATCAACATTACAATGCAATAGTATTTTTTCTTTCTTTTTTTCTGAAAGTCGGATGTACACGATTTATCTTAATAGTTTTCATGCATTTAGCCAATAGAGGGCTGACGTCAACATTTCTGTAACAGAAGAGGTACAAGACACCATGAGTAAAATGAAATACAGTGCAGCCTCTCTATAACAACCTTCGATATATCGACATCTTCTGTATAGCGACATGGTGCCCAAGGTTCCGATGTTTTCCTTATAATATCATTAGTAATATTCTTTGTTGGCTCTCTATAACGACAACTTTCTATAACGTCACTTTTTTCTGGTCCCTATGATGTCATTATAGAAAGTTTGCACTTTATGGCAAAGCGCCAGACACAGAAAACAAACTTATTGAAAAGATCCCAGCACTAGAAGAGGTGAGTATCAAAGAAGTGACAGCATTGCTTAACACCATATACAACACCGAAGAGATACCAGAAGATCTGAAGATGTCAATATTTATAGCATTTCGACAACAAAAAATTTGAAGCTGGAACATCAGAATGTGAGCAGCACAGGATAATCAGTCTTATGGAGCATCTTACTAAAGTCCTCCTGCGTGTACTAATGGAAAGAATGAGAAATTGAATACTTCCTGAAATTTCTGAAACTCAGTTTCGTTTTCATCTCACTGCACACCAAGATTCGATTCTTTAATTCCAATGTCAAGTCTGTGCTCCTCTACGTAAAGTCCAGACTTTCATCAACAGGTGTATGAGGAGTATCCTAAGAATTAAGTAGCAGGATAGAATAAGACACGAAGAGCTGTGGGAAAGGAAAGGACAAAAAGGTATAGAAGTAGAAATAGGACTAAGAAAGTGGCGATGGATTTGACACACTCAGAAAGCCCAGCGGAAACATCACAATACAGTCGCTGCAGTGGAACCCACAGGGAGCACGAGGCAGGGGTAGGCCACGGGAAACATGGAGGAGATGTGTGAAAGGGACATGAGAGAGATGAAACCCACTTGGAATGAGCTAAGGAGGATGGCCCAGGACAGAGATAAATGGAAGGAGCTTGTATGTGGCCTATACCCTGCCAAGGGTGAAAGGCATTGATGAGGATGAATTTCGGTTTACTGCAAATAACGGTACCTGAAATGTCCCCTTCGCCCTAAGATGCTCATGGAAAGATGAACTGAGGTCTAGAAAGACCTTTGCCTCTACTTTATAAATTACTCTAAAGCATTTGACAAAGTGAGACAGACAGAACGATCAACATCCTAACAGACCCGAACATAGATGGAAAAGACCTAAGAATCCTGAGAAGCCTCTTTTGGGAACAACAGACAGCAGTCAGGGTCGAGAACAAGCTCAGTGAATACCTGACAATCTGTAGAGAAGAACGACAAGGATGTGTCTTATTTCCAGATCTCCTCGATTTATACGACGAAATGATACTGCGTAACATCAGTGATATACAAAGAATCAAGGTAGGCGGTAACAATATTACCAACCTACGGTACGTTGATGACACAGTCTTGATAGCTGATTCTGACTCTAAGCTCCCAGAGATTCTAACTAGAGTGACAGGAAAAAGCGAAGAAAAAGGCCTACTACAGAATACCTAGAAAACGAAATGTATGGTGATATCAAAACGTGATAGTCTGCAGTAAGCTTAACACATGTAAGAACAAAAGAATTAAACAGTTAACAACTTAAAATGAAAGTACCTAGGTTGCTCAATTGCACCACAATCAAAAGAGGATACAAAGATAGAGATAAACGGATTGCAATATCTTAAGAAACTTTCGTCAATATCAAAACCTGTCCTCTTATACAGAAACATTACAGCGTACACAAAAATAAGAACCCCGAAAGGGCACGTACGGTCAATCTTTTTGTAAGGATGCAAGAGCAGGTCTCTAAACAAAGACACAGAGAGATGACTGGCGGCCGCTGGAATGTGGCATTTCAAGAGAATAGTCAGAATCTCATGGACAGAACGGGGGACAAAAATAGATAGGGAACTGCTCCAAATGGCAGGTTGTAAAAGATCAATAATCAGAACCATCAGAAAAAGTTAAGATTCTTTGGCCACATGAACAGATCAAATGAGCAAGAGAATCTGCTTCTGTGTGGGAAGATGGAGGGAAAGAAAAGCAGAGGAAGACAAAGAAATAAATACACAGATGGCCTAAACGACTTATCGACGAATAAAATACAAAGAGGGTAACTCGTCCAAATCAGAATAATTATAGTGACTTCCAGAGAACCAAGTTTCAAGCCTGGACCGTGACGGAGTTTTTGACTGCCGAAAGCTGTTCATCAGCAACGTCTCTATGTAAGAATGGGGTCTGTTTATGCTGATATAATTGTTTGTATTGGCATTAGTAAGCGATAGAAAGGCAAGATCTGTAAGAAGAAGAAGAAAAAAAGAGAAGATGCGACTGAGTCAATATTGAATTTTAAAAATTCGTTCTGGTCAGCCGAGGGGTACCTGGAATTCTCAGAAATCTTATCGTTTTCAGTTTTAAAACATTTTCTCTCCGCATTTCACGGGCTTGAGACCGTCACACCGAAGTAGGCTGCATTAAAAATGTTTTTGACTTTTGCCTTCAATCTTTTCTTGAAATAGATTGTTTTGTCCCATGCCCGTTCCTAACAAACTGACGCCATATGGTTAGTAACCGGTTAGAGTTGAGATCAGGATAGAAGACACTCAAGGACAGAGATAGAGACAGAGAAGTCACAACAGAACAGAGAACACAACACACATTCCAGAACATTACAAGAAGGTTAAAGGTTAGCAAAATAGTTTAGATCCTAACTTCCTCTGCTCCAAATGAGTCACGAGGCGGGCATATCCCTCATTCCCACTCCCTAATGGAGACAACAGTTTTTGGTGGTCACTTCCGGAAAGAAAGCCGGAACGTTGTGCACGCAGTCTCATCTCCACG